ATTCAAATTTTAGTACCATATATATTACTCAATTTCTTAATTTAAAAGCAAATATTAAAAACACAGATATACATCAATTTTTGTGTGTCATGTAGTATGTTGAATACAGAACTGGTTCAAATTAGATGTTTGTGAAGTCAAAATACTAAGCCTGTAGTTTCAAATTAATTAGAAACTCAAATTACCGACACTGAAAAGCTAGAATATAAAATAAGAGCCTCTTATCTTTTCAATTTCTTAAGATATTGCTCATGTAATAACACAGTGGCACCCTGCCCACCTCTTTCCATTTTTGGAAATGCTCCCTTATATACACTTACTTCTATATATAACATGAATAACCAATAAGACACTCAGAATGTCCCCTTAGTGGCTTTCTGAGGCATTGTAACAGATTTGGAGCCATTTTTTTCTTTTGAACCAATATTTCAACGAGGTAGGGGATGTCTTTAGTCTGCTCGAAATTTCATATTTTTTTAGACTAAAATACATCGTAGTTACTAAGCTTGATAAAAAAAGACATGAGAAAAACATTGCTTTATAAACCTTAAGACTTAATAAAAAAATTTGATATCTTTTGTATAAAAGCATTGTAATGTTTACTGATAATCTGCCAGATTTCATTAACATTCACTTACTAATTTAAAAGTTATAGCATGAAAACTATAACTAACACAAAATGGTTACGAGGTTGGTCCGAGGGACCGAGCCCATGCTGAAAGAGTTAATACCATAACTTTACTAAGGAATGATAAAAACATGTGAAAATTGATACACATGTTTTTTGTGAACATCCTCACAGCTTGAATTAAAAGCTTTACAAATTTTCTGCAATATTAAAGAGCTATAGGCAATTAATTTTAATTGATGCCTTTGTTAGTGGTAATTAGTCTCATAACAAGACAATTGGTAAAACTTTTTGAATTTAAAAAAATTCAAGCTATGGAAGAGTGTAATATCAACAAGTGTGTTAAATTTCATGCTGATATTGGCTTTAATGTTGAAGTGGAAACAGAACGAAAACAAGCTAGACTTATATTTTTAATCACTTACTACAAGTTAATTAGTAAAGATTTTAAGATATAAATGATTTATTTATGTAGAGAAGAGGTTAAACATTTGACTTAGGCTAAATTTGAAAATATTATTTTTGAAATATTGGGGGTAGCACTCTTTATGGTCAGTGCCACTTTAACACATCTGATGTAACCACACCTTTCACTAAGTGCTTTAAATCATATCAATAAATCTTAAAGTTTAAGAATACTATACAAGACTAAGCTTCTTTCAAACTAAGCTTTTAATCAATTAAAAATCTTGAGATTCATGTGTATGTGTGTATATGTAAATAACCCTGAAATACATCTTAAATACAAAGAAAAAAAAGCAATTTTATTAATGACTGTTCATACAATCTGTGCACTTCTAAAATGTAACATCTATTGTATAGTTTACTATGATATTATAACATTTCAGGGGAATTGGAATTACCTTAAATTTTGCTGCAAGGAGATGAGAAGTGTCAGGTCTACCCTCTGGTATTGGGTATATGAAATCATCAGTTATAACATTCTGACTAAACATGACTGATGGTGAAATATAGGAGTATCCCTATATCAATAGAGAAAGAGAGAAGACACAATTAAATAGTAGAGAGTAACTTATGATAAAAAGTAAAAGCATTTCCAGTTTATCATGCTGTATATTTCATACTTATCAATCACAATTTTGCAAGTATCAAAAATATTTTGTAAATCTAGTAGCAGCATTTGATTTGTTGAATGCTAAAAATGGCAACTTCTGAACATTATGCAAGTGCCAGATTATGCAACAACTACATCCAGTTTATATTCTCGTAATGTAAAAAAGTACAAACATTCAGTAACATAGACTATACTGTATATTAGAATAAAAACTACATACAACTTTTTTTTTAAGGGAGAAAGGAAATATTTTTAATTAATCAATAGTAAACTGAAAGTAATGACCAACAAAACTATAAACTATAATGAGCATATTGACTTTTTAAAATGATTCATTTATGAAAAAATTGTGTGTAGACACTGATTTTTTTTGTTTTAACTTACTTATGTTCAGAAGGTAACAGTGACTTTTTCTATCATAATAATTCATTTTTTTAATGCCAGAATACATTAATTAACAGTAATGAATGTCCCCTTGGATATTCAGTAATATGATTCTTATAAGTTTAACCTTTTAACCCAAGGGGAACTGTCAAATATTACAAGAACAAGTAGATTCAGTGGAAGAACAACGAGACAATTTTGTTGATTAAATACCTTCTTTAATATTTTAAGACAGATTTTTAAATATTTTGGTAACAAAGCTAAACAAAAAAACTTCTGTACACCGGTTTCAATATGCTTTCATACCTTGAACAGTTTTTCTTGACATAGAGGTACAACTGCAGGAGAATCAACTGGAGCCATAGAGGTAAATTCTTCAGAAAAGTTACCAACGTCCAACTCTCCAGTGATATGAGGAACAAAAGGTGGTGGATTTTTCTTTTGGTTAAGGGCTTCCCAATTCATACCCTTAAATACACAAGTCATTTCAACTAACATTAAAATTCCAAGATCACATCTTGAAATACATAAAAAAGCTTAAACCTGCAAGTTTACCTGTGGAAAGTTGACTGAGAACTTTTAAATTTACACCCCTAGATACACAAATTTGTTTCAATAAGAAAAGTTAGTCAAGTGCTTCTCTGTTTTACAACCTTTAAGCAAATAAGACTACACAAAAAAAGCTAACTGAAGAATGTACAATTTACGCATTTAAAACCTTTTTTTTTCTATTCATGAAGTAAGCATACAGTAATTCTTTTGCAATTCCCTAAATAATCTAATAACCTTATTTGCTAAATATGCATCCCTCACAGACAGCAAACTCACCTGGAAGAACTTGTGACATTTGAGCTCTGAAGCATCTCTGGGTCCACTGCCAAGCCGTTTCCTAGAATCTTTAACTAGCAGTCTGTTTATCAAGTCTCTTGCATCAGGAGAGATAGTTGGTGGGATAGGAGGATTTGAATGGAGAATTCGCCTAAAAATGAAATTAAAATGTAATATTTAGATAAACTTACTCAAGCAAATAAGTTATCATGAACAAAAATTAAAATTAAGTGAAATCTTTAGTGGTTAGTTTGGCTCAATGGTAACTATATTAAAATGAAGAGATATCAAAAATAAGTTATTGATTTTAAATTGTATTCCATTATGGATAACCATTATTTTAAGGTTGTTGATGTATTATTGAAAAACATGCATATCTATTCTTGTCTAAGGGTAAAACCCAATGTACTCCTTAACTTATTTTTTCTAATAATTTTAAAGAAATGTTAACATTTTCCTTACCTGAAAAAGTATTTCTGATAGATACTCACCTCTCCAAATAGAATAGCTATCTTCTTCAGCTCTTCTGCACATTCTGTCAAAGAGATTTGCAAGCTACCAGCCTCGTGAAAAGTCACACCTAAATTTCACATGAAACATGTGAACTTGTGCTGCTGCATGATGGGTTATCATGTAGTAGAACCCTCCACCTATAGGAATGTGGCACTCCTCCATGTGCAATGACTCCCCTACATTTCATGCTTGTAAATCCTCATTCTTCGATGAGGTAATGAAGAAATGTGCACCATAAAGTGGGTGAGAATGTGTGCGGAGGAAAGCATATATTGGAAGTACATTTTCAGGTAAGGAAAATGTTAACTTCTGAAATGAATACTCACCTCTTTAGACAGAATAGCTAGAATCCCATGTTTAGATAGTGAAGGGACAGGTGCAAATGTTACCTAGTTGAGCTCCCTTCAGAAAGTGTCCGAAGGAAGCCCATGGGGTGTGACACCTGATAGCAGGGACTACAGAAGGGCACACATGTGGGAGACCACATCTTATCTTTGTAGGTATAATCTTCGCCATATAGGAGAATGGAAGAGACAAAGAAGTCATAATTGTGTTGCACGGACAGGTGGAATAGGTATTTGGACATCTGAGCACTCCCATACAAGCCATCAAACAACTAGTATGAGTAATGAGGTTGGGAGTTGTTCAGACTATACCTTGTGTACTCATCTCCTTGACTATAAGACTTGACAGGTCAAAACCAGCCATGAGAGAAGGGCACTTGTGATAAATATCTGTGCTCACCTTCTCTACTGTCAGTCTCTACAGGACCCATGCCAGCTGTGGGAGGAGGGCACTGTATGAAATCATGTCTGTATTGATACTTATATAAACCTCTATTCAACCATCAGTCAGTATGGGCCCCTTGCCTGCTGTGAGAGTAGGGTATGCGAGTAATTCATTATTGGTATATATATGGTTTGTTCACCTCAACCCTACAGTTAGTTGCTATGGGCCCCATACCAGCTGTGAAAATATGGAATGTTTTTTTATTTTTTTCAGTATGATGTGGAACAGACTCGGATTAGAATGTTCACCTCAACTCTGGCTGCAGGAGAAGGATGTGCAAGATAAGAGTATAGAAAGAATCGGTATAGTGAGATGTATCATTAGTCCACTTGGAGGTTGTGATGTATCACAGTTATTTGTGTGAGGTAACCCATACTACATTCCACTGCCACCCCCTCCCCACTTCTCAATGTATTGGAATCCCTTGTTCTAGCCCCAGTGATTAGATCCCAATCAGTGAAGATTCTTCATGGTCCACCAACCCAGTGGCTGGGATTTGGTAAGTGGCAAGGGCCTCCCTTAGTCCTCTCAATGAAGAAGAGGGAATAATCTGCCTGGATCCACAACATTCCCTCAGTCTGGAAAGGGTTTTTGCTGTAGACAGTGTAATGGGTGACTGCAAAATCCTATTTTTAAAAGCTGGCAAGTGCTAGCCAGACAAGTAGGCAGAAACACTGCTCTGGTACTGGCTTTTTCCATGATAGTCCATGAAATGGGTACAGTCTGGATCAGACATGAAATGTAACACATGTAGATACCACAAGGAAACCTCAAGTGATCTTGAACACCTTATTTCACAGTGGGCACTTGTAGAGCAAAGGCAGATGCACGAGTGCTTTCTATTATTCTGGCTAGATGCAGATTTTGGGTGAGTATACACTGGGAGGCAATATTATCCCCCAAGTGGGATCCTATTGAATGAAAGAGGGGTCCTGCAAGGGAATGGTGCACATTGTACTCAAAGATGGTGAAATGATGGAAGAATGGTGATCTGTGGAGGTAAGACAGCCACCAGAAGGTATAGAGATGGAGTTGGATGTGTGAAAAAAAAAAAAAGAGTCCACATGCCCACCTGGAAAAGCTTATCCAAGGACTGGCATAAAAAAAGATGGTAGAAGAGAATGAAAAGGGTGATAATACAATGCAAACATAACATCCTGAAACAAATACACCAACAGAGAAGTTGGTGGGTCCATCCTGGAAAGGAAAAAGGAATGACGTTCGTGAAAAATAGGGGTCCCAGGATAGAGAAGTTCCGTGGAAGAGGGTGAGAAGCATCCAGAGAATAGACATTGGAACAATGGTAAACGTGGGAAATAAGGAGGAAATAAGTCAAGAGAGAAAGATAGTAAAGGGTAGGATGGGAAGAGCTTAAATGGGGCATGAACAAGATTAAGCAAAACCCAAACAATGTCTCAATCAGGAAAGAGAGTATGGCAAAGTGGACTGAGGAGAGCAAAAGAGCAGAACAGAACAAAGAGGACAGGGTAAGAAATGTGTCTTGGTAAAAAGGGAAAAACCATGGACATGGCCACCTGACAATTAAGAAGGGCAGAGGCCAAGAACCCTTAGATGAACAGGCTGGTAAGAAAGGAACAAAGGTGGTGCAAAGAATTACTGCTTGAAGGAAATGGGTAGCAGAAGGACCAATGACAAGATCCGCCACAGATGGCAATAGACAAATATAATGAAAGGACAACAAGAATAATTCCACACTAATAGAAAGTTCAGTTTGATGGGCAATAGACTAGGCAAATTTCATGTGTGAGGGTGGAAGGATAACTCTCAATGAAGAAAGGAATCATAAGAGTGAAAACAAAGAGAGAGAGAGGAGGGGGTCCACTGAATGAGTACATCATAGCCAAGGTAATCTGAGAGGTACCAACAAAAAAGCTAAAGAAGAATAGTAGTCTTTAAATCTAAGGTCCAGAAAGATGAGATGAATAAGGGAGAAGGTACAGAGAAAGAGGTAAGATCAGGCCTGGTTGAGAAAAAAAAGCCAAAGCCAAAGGAAGAGGAATACAGGACTATAAGAGAGGAAGCCAAGAGTAGAGAAAGGTTGCAAGTGTCCAAGAGGTACATGTCCAATCAAGAGTAAACCCCACAGATGATCTGGGAGTGGAGAGGCTACTCTGTTGAGAGAAATAAGGACTGGACAAAAGAGTCAGATTGCTAACACAAAATAAATTTACAGTAGGTGAAAATGGGCATAAAAGTGTAAAGATAATGGCTAAAAACAGAAAAAGGCCCTGGAACAGGAGCCACAAGGACAGTTAGAGCAAGGAAAGGTCATGGGAAATATTGAGTAGAACATGACCAAGCAAACCGCAGAAGAAGCAGGACTGGGAACATGATCAATAAAGAGAGAGAATGTCAAGCATGTTGATGGAGAGTGGACACTAGATGAACATACAAACATCAGAAGACCTACCTTGACAAAAAAAATGTACCCCAATCTGAGAGAGAAGCATGGAAGAAGGGGGAAATCGATTTAAAAAGTGGTAGGGGAATGCAGGAAAGAGGATGGTTCAGTCATCCTGACACTTCCTAGAGGAAAGACCCTAGGCCCATAACAGACCCTAGGCCTGTAAGAGATACACGAGGGCATGCCCAAAATAAAGGAGGAGTTCTGGAGAAGCCAGAGAAAGAATCGTTCATGCAAAGTGAGAAAAAGAAGTGTAAAACCCAGTGACCAGATAAGACATCATTCGTAGGCAAAAACGATAAACTGAATTTGGTTGTGATAAGACAAAAAGAAAATGTCCAAAAGAACCCAAAAATGAGTAGGTGTGAGAAAGGACCCAGATCCCAAGATAACCTGTATTGGTAGGGTTAAAAGATACAAAGAGTCAAAGAAAAGGAATGCCAACCACAGGTCACGAGTATGACAAGCAAAGGCTCCCATGATACCAATAAATACAAGAGGGGCCAATTCTGAGATGAAATTAGAAACTAAAGATTTGGAAAATGCAAAAAAGAAAAAAAAAGAACATACAGGATGGAGGAAACAAAGGGAAGTCAACTTGAGATATATATATATATAAAGGCATCCAACACATTGAAAATGGCTGAATGCAGACCAGGTGAAAAAGACCATAGAGGGGGTTGGAATTGGGAATAAAGGTGAAGAGAAGAAGAAGAAGAGCAGAAAAAGAGACTACGGTGGAGGAATGGGAAAACACTGTTGGCAGAAAGTGAGACAAACAGCAGGAGGAGAGAAATGTCCCCACAGAATCTTACATATGTGAGTCACTGGCAGGAAGAGTGATAAACGAGACTATTGGTTGAGGGAAGACGAGAAAAAGAGAATAGCCTGTAACCTGAAATGGAAGGTAAAAAGGAGACTGATCGGGATGAAGAATAGGAGTAAAGAGCAAGAGAAAGGTGAAAAACACATGGAAGTAGAATGTGGACAGAAGTCACATATTATCACACCAGGTTACCAGGTGGGAAAAAAAAATCAACACAAAAGACAAATGAGTGAAAAAAGGGAACCAGACAAATAATATGTACACAAAAAGAAGGAAGGGGCATAATAAGAGGAATGTAATCCAATATGTCACATCATCAGGGGAAAAAAGAGGGATAGAACAGAATAAATGGAATAGGCCAAACAGAGAAGGGAATGAATGTTTCAAGAAGTTATCGGAAACATGAAGAAATGCCAGATATAAAAGGTGAAGGTAGGAAAAGAGTAGAGAGAAAAACGTGAAGATAGGTACTTGGAAAGTGAAAAAGAAGGTAAGGGTCTCAAATCCCCAAGCTGGTTAGATAGAAACCAATGATGGGAAATTGGGAAGAAAGTTGACAAATCTTGGAAAATTGGCCACGAACAAGTGGGGGTGTATTTATCATAAGAAAGGAGCTATTAGAGAAAGAAAACCATAAACAATTTAATAACAAGCAAAGGGAAAAAGGATAAACCCATGAAACAAGTTACAATGTAAAAAAACAAAAAATAATAAAGAATGCAGGCAAAAGAGAGGAAAAGGAGCATATCTGAAAATGAAATCCAGTAAGAGATGGAAAGCTCAAGGTCATTTAACAAAAGGCAGAATACTACCTAAAGGTGAAGAACATAGTATAATAGATCATTCTTGATTGAGGAGAAGGAAATTCAGCTGAAGAGGTGCGAGTAGGAGGCTCATTAAGCCGGTGATAATCCACAATGCATTGAACAATGGCTACTATTACCCTGACACTTAACTGGCCTCAAAAGTACACAGAAGTAATAAGGCCTAAGTGCAAAACACTCTCATGCTCATAACTAATTATAAGTCACCGTCATTTGAGAAGTCATGATAGATATTAAAGCTTTTGAAACATGAGCTCAAGAAAACAAAAGTCAAAGTATAGTTAATGATGTAAATATCATTAAATTGAACACAGACGAGAAATTTTAATGTCTGGTCAATATATTGCTGAGGAGAAAAATGAGGATTCACAAGTGCAAATTGTAGGGTGAGTTACTGTGCATGGAGGTGTGTCGCACTCCTATTGGTCAATGGTTCTGCTGTATTATGACATCATCATACAGTACTGCAAGTTCTTCTGTGCATTCTGCCAAAGAGAACTGAGGAAGATATCTATTTTGTTTGTGGAAATGAGTATTTGTTTCAGAAAGTTACTTGCTAGCTTGAGATTTCTATTTGTAGAACATGTAAAACTTCAAAACTTATGTGAACCAACAAAAATCAAATTATTCTTATTCACAAAAGGTTTTGATGGAGAATAAAAAAGATTAAGTTCTGCCAGTGACATTAAAACTGAGTGTGAAGAACAGTTGGGTAATTAAAGCATGGCTTGAAACCAATCACCTGTAGCTGTTACAAGATAGCTTTTACCACTGTTCAAAACCACACAATGTACCAAAGTTACATATATAAATCTCTAATCATTACTGCTCCAGTAACAAAAGAAAAAAAAACTGATGACTTACTTGGATACCTCAGAATGGGAAGATTTATCCTCATCACAGCTAAAGGGTGAACTTCCTGTTAGCAGCTCATATACCAAAACACCCACACTCCACCAGTCCACACTCTGAAAAGTTAAATACCATAAGTGACTACACTTAAATTTTGCATCGGGAGCTAACTAAATAAGAACCAATGAATGGTTTAGTAAGAGACAATGAGAAATAATATAAATGTGGTGGGAATGATACATGTAATGGGTAGTAGAACCAACATGCTAAGAGATGACATGCAATAACATCCGGATTATGAGAAAAACTAATAATTAATATTAAAATGGTGGGAATTATACATATAATGGGTAGTAGAACCAATATATACTAAGAAATGACATGCAATAATATGATGATTATGAGAACTAATAAATAATTAACTCTTTCTGTACAACTGAGTCAAAGTGTATATGTCATGACCTTTTGTAAAAATTATAAGCTTCTCAGCTTAGTCTAACAAAACTTCAGTAACATAATACTTCTAAATTTACACTAGCTTGACCACTGGTGCAAAACACAACACTAGATAACCTGCTGTTATGTTAGCTCTGTGGGAAAGTTAATAGGCTTCTGCTGTGATTTATTGCAGTGTCATAAATATGGCAATAGAACCATAAAATTAAAACAAAACAGGTGTGGAAAAAGTTAATAGTTGAAAGTTTTAAGTAATTTGTACCTTTCTGATCAATATTGCAGTCAGTGCAAAGATAAAAACAGTATTATTAATTTTACTTCATATTTTTAAACTTTTCATTTCACTGTACACTGATGATTTTTCTATATTTAGAGTTAAAGTAGAGAAAATAAGATAAAATATAAAGTTTTACTGAAAAAAAATTGATTTTCATTTAGGAAGTTCTAAACATTATTCAAATGAATTATGAAAACTGTAAATTGTAAATGGGTATATTTTTATTCTGAACATAAAAATCATCTTTCACTAAGATTGACTCAGTAAAGGCTTCAGAAATGTACAAATCTTTATTAGAAGTACTTCATTAACAAACCTGTCTTTTTACAGTGCCTTGTAAAAGTCTTCACCCTCCTGTGCTGGTAATCAATTTTAGTTATTTTGCTGTGAAAGACATAACTCAAATGGCCAAGAGTATTTATTATATTAATCTCAGACCAGTTTCTATAAATTACAAAGAACAAAAGGTGCATTGTTACTCGCTTTAGTGATATAACACAAAACAATCTTGAAAACACATGTTGCAAAAGTCTTCACCGCTAACATGATTATACAGTTAATATTTGGTTGAAGCTCCTTTGGCAGTAATGACAGCTGAAAGTCATTTGGATAACTCTCCACAAGCTTTGCACATTATGATGGAGATATTTTTGCCCACTCCTGTTTGAAGATATCCTCCAGTTCTTGTAAGTTGGAAGGATGTCTTCGATGCACAGCAATTTTCAAGTCTCTCCACAGATTTGTAAGTGGATTTAGATCTGGGCTTTGGTTTGACCAGTCAGACTTTAATTTTGTTTCTCCAAAACCATTCTTGGGTTGCCTTTGAACTGTGTTGGGGTTCATTGTCCTGTTGAAATGTAAACCTTCAACCAAATTTAAGTTTTTCAGCTGACTTCTTCAGGTTTATCTCCAACATCTGTGTATATTTTGCATTGTTCATAATCCCTTGAATGTGTACAAGTTGAC